TTTTATCCAAAGGAAAGGTCAAAAAGCACAGGAAAGACCTTTGAGATGTTTTCTTGGGTTCGGGGAGTAGATTATGAAAAGGGAAGGTGCAAGCACCCTTTTTATCCATGGTTATCCATGGGCTCTTAGTTACTTGTTTAGATCACTTGCTTTTGCTTTTCAATTGTTTGAAATGGTGCTTTGTGTGTGGTTTTGAAAGATGTTTTGAAAAGAGGCCATCCTTGTGGCAACCTTTGTAATGATTCTTGTTTGAATGTATACAAAGGTGTATTTGTCTTTTGAAAAGATTTCAATGTTTGAAAGTTTGATTTGGGAAAATGTTTTAAAATTGTGTTGTGAGGTGTGTTTGAAAATAGCAAGGATGTTTTGCAAGTTTTGATCAAGTAACTAAAAGTTATCTACCCTATTTTACTCAAAGATCTTTCCTATATGTTTTTAACCGTTTTGACAGTGTTGTTTTACCATTGCATTTGGTAAACAACCTTGTATTAGGATGTTAAACGGGACAGGCGCGGGTCATCGTATATACCATAATAGCAATTGTGTTAAGTATCTTTAGAAAATCCTAACTGCAAAGACTAAAGTAACTGAATACAAATCACTCGCACACTTGCACCTCTAGGCTGACCTTCCTTGTTGCCTTCAGAAAATAAAATGATCATGTCCCTTGAACGTGGGGACGCTTTAGAAAAGAACCTCGATCAATTCATCATACAAAAAGATCATAGTCCCTTGACGACCCTTTCTATGTTACCTTCCGGAAATGATCTAGTCCCTCGAGTTGCCTAGAATAAAATGATGACAGTCCCTTACAAAAATTGCTAAAACATTCTTAAGAGTTGCCTTCGATGACTATATGATGACCTACGTATGTACCTTCATATCCAACGATAGGGCTTCCTACTAACTAATGGTATGGACATCACTATCTACAGGAGAAGGAAAAGTACAAGAATAACCATGAGTGGTAGAACTTTTAATCGCTTGCTCACAAAAAGCTTTCAAAAAACAAAACATCTCACAAACACTTTTAAAAGATATTTTCAAAACACTTTGTACACATTCTCGAGGATAAATATGAGAATCATTACAAAGTTCGCCTTACATTGGCAATTTTCAAAATATTTTCAAACACACACACAAAGCAAATTTTTAAAAGTGAGTTAAGCGATTAAGAGCTCATAGATGACTACAGATGAAAAGGGTGCTAACACCTTTCTTTTTCATAACCTACCCCCCGAACTCAAAATCTTTCAAGGTCTTTCTTGTTTTTTTCACCCTTTCCTTATTGGATAAAAGAAAAGTCGGTGGCGACTCTAGCTATCCGTATATTTTGGATAAAAATCAAAACGTCAGTACTCTCACCGTATTACAACGAGAATGGTGTGATGAGATTCAGAGTCAAAGTTTGTGTACCTGATGTGCCAGAACTTAAGAAGATTATTCTTGAGGAAGGTCATAGAAGTGGTCTGAGTATTTATCCCGGTGCTACTAAAATGTATCAAGAATTGAAGAAGATATTTTGATGGTCTAGAATGAAGAAGGAAGTAGTGGAGTTTGTTTATGCTTACTTGACTTGTTAGAATTCGAAGATTGAACATCATAAATCGTTGAGTCTGATACAAGTGTTTAGGCATCTCCCTTGCGAGTAGAGGATCACAAAGTGGATCACTCGAGGGTCAAATGGGAGAGTTGTATCTAACTCTATTGCTTAAAAAAATTTCGAGAGTGAAAATTATTTAAGTGGAAAAGAGTTGTAACGCCCCGGATTTTATTAAATTTTTATTGAGTTATTTGTGAATTCTTTGGGGTTTATATGTGTTTTATTTAATTATTGTGTGTGAATAATTAGATAAAAAGAGGATAGGAATGTAGGTCCTATAGATAGAGGTGTAGAGAATAAGTTGTGACTTGTTGGAGTTGATACAAATTATTTAGAATCTTAATAATTAGAATAAATAATATTTTAATTAAATTATTTAAATTAATAAAGGTGATGAGAGTGAGTGATCTTGAGAGGAGAGTGGGGAGAGTAATTAGAAGTTGTTAGATTTATTTAGAATCATTTTATTAATTAAATTAATGTTTTAGTTTTATTATTTAAATAAAATAATAAGATAAATGGAAAATAAGAGTTGTAGAGATATTGAGGATAATGTGGAAATTAGGGAAGAATCTGAAGGTAAAGTAGGAATATCCTAATTTGAGAATTAGATTTTTACTTTAAAAAGGAGTTAAGAGGACAGTGTTTTATCGGTACATAAAAAAAGTGAAAAGAGGCAAGAAGAGAGAAAAATATAAGGCAAAGAGAAGAATAAGAGGAGATCTAGAGTTTTGAGAAAGGACACCATAGAGATTGCTTGCAATTGTTGGAATCACAAGGTAAGGGGGAGAATAACCTTAATAATTGGTATATGAATGAGGGGTAGGGTATATGAGTCCTTAATCTCCAATAGGCTTGTTTATCCATTGAGTCTTGATGAATAGTAATGAATATATGATGATGGATCTGTTGTTATATGCATTGATTTGATTTGCAATAGTGTGTTGTTGTTATGAGTCTGTGTTTTTGAGTTTTATGTGAAATTGGATGTTTAGGGTATGAACATATTTGAATCATTGATGATGTTTGGTTGATTAATTTAGGTGTTTATTGATGAAATTAGGATGAACTTACAGTAGATAATTGGTCTATAACAATTAGAATTCGAAATAAGTTGGACCAATGTTTTAGTGAAGTAAAAATAAATAAGTAATTCTACTGTACACGAAAGTGAATATTTTGGAAAAACAGCGACGACCAATCGATTGGCCTAGGGGGAGAAATCGATTGGCTCCTTGAAAAGTTGGGAAAAATTGTAAAACAGTAGCTTGGATCAATCGATTGAACTTGAAAACAATCAATTGGTATTTTGGAAAAATTGACAAATTTTGTTACAGTAACTCAGACCATTCGAATGACACCAGGATACCAATCGTTTGGTTATCACCCTTTTATGAAAATTTCATAGGCAGTAGCTAGGAACAATAGATTGGTCTGCGGCAACAATATATTGGTTCACCGATTGTTTCAGTCATAAATTTTAATTTGTAAGTCCAAATAAGATGTGATTCAAAGTGTTGAAAAGCTAACACAATTTACCATCAAATGGAATTAGTTTCATGGGATGAATGTGTCGTGAAAACATGAATAATTGATGAGAATTGTGTGTATTTGTTGATGTTATATTGTGATTATGTTATGATGTTGAGAATGTTAATTATATTTGGTTAACAATGTAAATGTTGAATATTGATGATGTTGTAAGTTGTGATAAGTATGTGCTACTGTGTAAGTATGATAGTTGATTATGTCGTTATGATATTGATGATGATTATGATGTTGTCGTGTATGATGTCGATAATGATTATGATATTATTGTGTATGATATTGATGATGATTATGATGCTCTTGTGTTATGATGTTGAGAATAATATTGATGTTGATTATGTGATTGGTGAATAATGGTTCGAGTAGGGAGAACTATTATTTTTGGGTTAATGCATGTTTTATTTATTGTCGGAAGGCGACTTTAAACATTAGGTTGTTGCTGCATTGACATATTTTGACATGCATTCATGATCTCGTTGTTGAAGAAAGATGCAAGTTATAATTCGAGCAGGGTGGATTCGGGATTCGAGTAGGGTGAACTCGGTTCGCTAAGGAACTTTTTGATGATATGGTACCACATGCATATGCATCGAGTTGCATAGTTGAGTTGCATCACATGAGTGAGTTGCATGTATAATATCTGTTTTGTGTGTGATTATGGAGTTGGGTGTGAGAATGTCTTGCGCAATATTGTATGCAATTACCTGTAGAATATGTGTGTGTTGATAGTATGTACCGCTTACTTTATTAATGTAATTTTTCACCCCCTTATTGTTGTTGTTGTGGCATGTGCTTCTATTTGGAGTACAAACAAGAAGGTAACCGAGTAACTGCTTAGAGTGGAGGATGGCGCGAGACTGTTCTTCTTTTAATTTCTTTTTGGATCTTTAGATTATATGCTCTGATCTGTAACACTGGACGGGATAAACGATATTTTTAATTTTGTAATGTTGTTTAAAGAGTTAGATGTTATACTCTCATAGTGATGATGACTATGTTGTTTGATAGATATTTTTACCATGTTTTATCTGAGTTTAATAAATAATTTATGTGACTTATGTGATTTTACAAAGCATGTTTACTTTATGATTATGTTACAATGATACCCTAAGTGAAGATGAACATGCGATGATAGGTGTTGAATATCTTATTATATAATATGTGTTACAAAATATATGTGTTCGATATCGAGTAACAACCTAAGTGAAACTATGTGTTTTCAAGTATGTCTTATGTAATAATAATAAAAAACACTAGATTTTTAAGGTGTTACAAACTACACCACTAGAATCTAAACATGCAGGTAACCATCATGACAATCCAATAACAACAATGAAAAGACAATATACACCATACATACACCAGTAGGGGATAAAGGTTAAAGATCCTCAACCCCTCTCTTCTAAAATCTGGAATGCTTTAGTCTTAGAGAGTTTTAAACCCATCCCTTCTAGTGATGTATGATAGGAAGAGTGGCCCACAGAAACACAACAACGCCTTCAACACACAGATGGTGATCATAGGTGTGACATGCTCACTCAAATGCAAGTTCTTGTAAAGTCAATCTTAATCAAGTTTTAGTTTTAGTTTTTATTAGAGTTTGATATAACTCATCCTTATAAAATCGATTTGTAAGATAAAAAATATCACTCTATATAAATTATTTCAATTTCTAATGCCTAACTAATGTAGAACTTTATGATCTTGCTAACGGTTCTCAATATATATAATTTTATCACTTTTTAATTAACCTTTTAATAAGTAAATTGCAGTTACTTTTACATATAATTAAGCCCCGAAATAGTATATGACATGAACATAGAATAGTATATAAACTAGCATAGAACAATTAATCATCATGAACCTTTTTACACAAGGCACAGTAATTGCCCTTGGGGGTAAGTTGATGTGCATCCGATGCAGCTTTTACCAAGTCCGGTGTTGCATTTGAACTTGATGCAGTTCTTGGTATGACTTGTTCTAAATTATCTGATGTAGTTTCAGGTGCTGGTGGAAAAATGTTATCCACACTTGAAGGCTGCACTACACGATCAACAAGTGACCCTGTTGCGGCCTTTGATGTTGCGCCATTTCCTATGAACATTAACCTTAGGATTTTGACAGCAATGAGAGCCAAAACAGTAGCCGAAGGAACAAAGACTACATCAGGAATGGCATTCATAAATTTTAGCTGAGGTAGCGTTCTTTGTCCGGTTCTCTTAGCCACCATGGCAGCTGGTGGTGCCACTATTGCAGTGATTATCATAGATTCATCTACTTTGTTGAGATTCACATTCTTATTCAAGAAGTCTATCAACATCTCCTTTCTAGCTTCTTCATTAGATTCCTTCCAATGTTTGAAAATTTCCTGTATAACATTTTTTTTGTTACTTTATGAGTTTGAATGAAATTGCTCTTGTACGCCAAATTTGTTTCGTGTTGTTTGAAAATCAAGATCAAGAGTAGTATCTAAGAAAAAATAGTGAGTTTATTCATAATATCTGAAGAGGACAAATTGCATAAGAAGATAACTGACCTTTACATCCGTATATGTCGGGGAATCATAATGTTTCCCCGATATAGCCATGTTGATAGTCCTGCATAAAACTTGATTCTTTGTTATGGTGATAATGTGATCAAATTATTGTGAGAAATGCAAATTTTAGTGCAAGAATTATCTAGTTTTGTCGATGACTAATCCACGTTGACGAACGTGTGATTGAACATCTTCTGGATTTGTTTTTTCCATGCACAAGCCTCTTACTTGAGAGCTTCCTTAGAGATATGGAATGCTTACTTGAAGGTATCAAGAATAGCAACATGGAATGCTTCAAACTCCTTGACATCTTTCTCAACAAATTGCTTGTACAGTTTATTCATTGCCAAACTCAACACCTGGGAGGTTGATAATCCTGTGAAGCAATATCAAGATGATGATGATGATAAAGCACTAATTAGTAGACAAATAATGAGTATTATGAAAAAGAATAAATCAATATTTGACCTTTTCCTCTCATTAGGCTTGTGTTCATTCCCATAATCCTTTGTAAGATTGTACAATTTTGTACTTGAACAGTATTGAAGCAATCAACTGTGATGAGTTGATGAAATGTTGTGGAACCGAAGGATAGGGTGATGTGTTGGGTTATTAAATGGCATCTATAATTTTGCTTTTAAAGGAAAGGATTAATTTCTAGTTTCTAACATAAAATTAGTATAATATATGATATCTTTTACTGTTTATTGGTCTGAATCTTGGCATGGAATAGCTTGTAACTTAAGCAACATAGTTTGTTTGTTTTTAATACTATTTTCATCCATCCTTGTAATTTTTTAAATTAGAAGGTGTTTGTGAATTTTATATATTTGTGCCACCATTCTGAAGTTGAAGTTACTTCACAGCGAAAAGACAAAGTTATTAAATAGTATACAATTGAATTGGATCCTAATTTACAAGAGAGTGAAGAGAGGTTAGGTTCCTAGTCAATAGCAGAGGAGTTTTTGGCATGATAGAAAGTTGAAGTCAGAATAGACCATGGCTTTGAATATGGTACATACTAACATTAAAATGATCTTGTAGCATCCTAACTCTATCATCAACATGCTAGCTAGAGTCCCTTTCCTCTCCTCATTGATACAACAGTTTTCACAGGGTTCTCCTAACTTTCTTAGTACTTTATTTGGAGTGTCAGATAATGATTGTAAATTAAATTGATGAAGGCTTGATTCGTTCATATAGGAATATTTCAAGCATTCTATTTTGTTTCAGAGTCTATATGCAAGAATAATTAGGATAATTCAGCCTATTTTGACTTTGTACAAAACATGTAAAAACTCGAATGTAAGAAAGAAAGAAATATGGAATTTAACCAAGGAAGAGGAGAGTTATAATTGTTGGAAACTCACCAAAGTCTATGATGAATTTCTACCACAATAACAATTTAATTATGAGACAAACAAAGAAAGAAGATAAGACAAATAATTTCTGTAGAATTTCTTTCTGCTCACAAACTGTGAAAACTTTCTTATTCACTTTGCAACTGCAAAATATTGTGAATGACTTGCTTGACTTGCTTACAAAAAATAAGGGTTACTCCCTCTATTTATAACTGAGCTTGCACCCTAAGTCCAAAGCCCAAAATATCTATTTTGTTACTAAATCAAATCTAATATATTCTAGACTTAAATCAAATCTATTTAAATCAAAACAAATCTAATCTTTTCGACACTATGAATTACAATTTAACACAGCACCTAATTCATTGTGTTTAAACTATCTATATTCATCATGACTCTTAGCCTTCTGAATACTTCGACTTGCACTCCCTTCGACATGATGTCTGCAATCTGATTCTCAGTTCTGCATTGTTCCAAATTCATCTTCCCATCTGCTACCTGCTCTCGAAGATAATGGAATCTCATTTCGAGGTGCTTACTTCGACCATGTGGTATTGGGTTCTTTGCCAGATTGATAGCTGACATGCTGTCTATTTTCATGGTAATTGCTCCATGATCTTTCCTTGTTATCTCTTCGACCAAGTTCACCATCCAAGTTGCTTGACATACACAAAGAGAAGCAGCTATGTATTATGCTTCACATGATGATAATGCCACTACTGGTTCCTTTCTTGAATTCAAAGCAACTGGTGCACCACCTAAAATAAACACATATCCTGCTGTTGACTTTCGATCTTCAGCATCACTACAACAACTTGAATCTGTGTATCCCACTAACTTACATTGTTTTCCTTTATCAGCTGCAGGAAACAAAAAGCCATAATTGAAAGTTCCTTTGAGATGCCTTAGTATCCTCTTCACTGCTGCTAGATGTGATACATTTGGCTTCTGCATGAATCTACTTACCATACCTACATTATATGCTAAGTCAGGTCTTGTATGAAAAAGGTATCTCAATGATCCAATAAGTCTTCTGTATTGGGTTGGAACAACATCATCTTCATCTGCATCTTTTGACAATTGCAGTCTTGGTTCTGTAGGTGTCGAAGTTGAGTTGCATTCTTCCATCTCAAACCTCTTGAGAATTTCTCCTGCATATCTTCTTTGATACATCATCAAACCTCTACTGCTCTTGTAAAATTCGATACCAAGGAAATATGAAATCTCACCCAAATCAGACATTTCAAATTCCTTGTTGAGATCACCTTTGAAGTCTTCGATCTTACTTTTACAACTACCTGTTATCAACAAATCATCTACATAGAGACATAATATAAGCAATTCACTCTTTCTTCTTCTTACATATACTCCACGTTCAGTTGTGCACTTTACAAATTCCTTCTCCCTTAGGAAACTATCAATTTTCTTATTCCAAGCCCTTGGAGCATGTTTCAATCCATATAGGGCTTTATGAATCCTGTACACCTTTCTTTCTTCGTCATGTTTCACAAACTCAACTGGTTGTTTAACATATAATTCTTTGTCTAAGGGTCCATTTAGAAATGCACACTTTACGTCCATCTGACATATGTGCCAACTATTTATTTCTATTAGACCAATAACCAACCTGATTGTTTCGATCCTAGCAACAGGTGTAAAAACTTCATCGAAGTCTATTCCTTCTTTTTGTAGAAGTCCTTTCACCACAAGCCTTACTTTGTGTCTAGTTACTTCACCTTTCGAATTCGTTTTCACTTTGTATACCCACTTGACATCAATTTCCTTCTTGCCTTGAGGCAATTCGACAAGTGACCAAGTGTTGTTATTTTCGATAGACTTCACTTTTTTGTTCATTGCTTTCACCCATTTTGAATCCTTCAATGCTTCAGCTGCATTAACAGGTTCGACATCTGCGTAGAAAGCATGATGTACCAGCTCACCTTCATCATTTATCACATCATCTGATATAATCACACAATCTTGAAATCTTGTAGGCATGCGTCTTGTTCTTTAAGGTCTGCTTGTACTTGGTATATCTGTTGGTTCCTCTTGTCGAACTTCTCTTTCGACTTGAGTTTCTGGCTCTTCGAATAGGATTCCCACTAAATCTTTCTTGACATTTTCAGTCCAATATCATTCTTTAAACTCATCTATGATCATGTCCCTGCTGATCACAATATGCTTTTTCACTGGATCAAACAACTTATAGCCTCGTGTCGAATGATATCCAACTAGAATCATTTGACTTGACTTGTCATCAAGTTTTCTTCTCAACTGATCTGGCACATGTCTATGTGCTATAAATCCAAATACCTTCATATGACTCAAGTTAGGCTTCACACCAGACCAACATTCTTCTGGAGTAATTCCTTCTAGCTTCTTTGTAGGACATCTATTCAAAATGTATGTTGCATTCGAAATAGCTTCACCCCAAAACTCTTTAGGTAAATTCTTGCCTTTCAACATACTTCTCACCATATTCATGATGGTTCAATTCTTCCTTTCTGCAATTCCATTTTGTTGTGGAGTATAGGGTGACACCACCTCATGCACAATCTCTTCCTTTTCACATAGCATGTCGAAGTCTTTCGACGCATATTCTCCACCACCATCAGTTCTCAAAATGTTGAGCTTTCGACCACTTTATCTTTCGACCATAGACTTAAACTTGGCAAATACTTCGATCACTTCACTTTTCTTCTTGATCAGATAAGTCCACAACTTTCGACTGAAATCATCTATGAATGTAACAAAGTATATGTTACCTCCCATTGAATCCACCTGGATTGGTCCACATACATCAGAGTATATGACTTCAAGACTAGCCTTCAACCTGCTTCATGCATCCTTGCTGAAGTTATTCTTGTGTTGCTTCGCCTGCACACATTCCTCACATACCTCATTTGGAATGTTGATTTCTTGTAATCCTGAAACTATATTTCTTCTCTTCAAATCTATGATGTCTCTGAAGTTGAGATGGTCTAGTCTATAATGCCACATCCATTCATCTCTACTAGCTGCAGTCGAAAGGAACTTTTACTCCATCACATTTAGTTCAATCTCGAAGGTTCGATTCTGAGACATATGAGCCTTCAAGATTAATCTCCCATTTGTATCAACGACTCTCATCATCTTATCTTCGATTGACACTTTATAATTCTTTTCGACCAACTGCCCTATACTGAGCAAATTGCTCTTTATGCCTGGTATGTACAACACATTAGAAATTACTGACCTCTTGCCATCTTTCCTCATAATCATGATATCACCAATACCTCCAGCTGCTAGGGTATTGTCATTTGTAAATTTACCATATTTTTTGTTGAGGGCTTTATGTTGACAAATCAGTCTTTCCTTCCAGACATATGTGATGAACATCCTGAATCCAAGTACCATTGGTCCTTGAATCTATCTTCATCTTTTGTTGTGACCATCAGCATCATCTCTTCTTCTTCATGTTTTGCAAGCTTTGCATCACTTTCTTGATTCTTCCGTCTTTCTGGATAATCACTTGAATAGTGACCATACTTCTGACAATGGTAACATTGAATGTGACTCTAATCAGGTTTTTGACCACCACCTCTTCCTCTATTTGCAACACCACCTCTTTGGTTGCCTTGATATGGTTTTCTTTGATTCGACACGTTTCCTTTGATCTGGTTTCCTCTACCATTCGATTTGTTGTAGCCACTTCTATCTCTGTCGAAACACTTTCCTTTGCCTTTGGTCTCTTTTGTTGAATGTGCCTGCAAGGCCACATCACTCTTTGATTTGTATGCAGCTCTTTCGATCATTCTTTGTTCATGAGATTCAAGCGTCCCTTGAAGTTCTTCCTTTGTCACTTTCGACAAGTCTTTCCCTTCTTTTAATGCCACCACTATGTGGTCCAACTTAGGAGCTAAAGATCTCAAGATCTTCGAAACAATAACTCTTGTTGTTAATGTTTCTCCACATGTCTTGATTTGATTAACTAGTTTTGTAATTCTAGTGAAGAAATCAGATACGCTCTCACTATCTTCCATCTGAAGCAATTCATAGGTTCTCTTGTGAGTTTGTAACCTCACTTCTTTTACCTTTTCTGCACCTCCAAAGGACTTCTCAAGAACGTCCCAAGCTTCTTTTGCAGATTATAAATCACTCA